AGACCTCTCATAAAAATATTTGTTTTTTTTCTGATTTACTAAGTAGAAATTTAAACTTAAAAAACTTTTAAAACAGAACATGTAACATCAAGTGAAATATCGTTTTCAAACTGCGGAATAAATCGTCGTTTACTTGCCTTATCATAATAAAAATGAGCAAACTTTAATAGTTAAAAAAACCTGATACCTGAAAAATAAAACAATTAAAATAAGAAATTTTTATTAGGTTTGAAAATATGAAAAGCAAAAGCTTCGACACTTCGTTTTCAAACCTACTACATACATTAAACAAGATGCTACCAATTTTTACTAGTAAGAAACAAAACCTAATAGCTTTTAAAGCATGAAGACTTTTATAGTAAGCCAAGAATCAAATCGTTTTAGTTATTTGTAAAATTTTGATAGCTTGTTATATAGTTTTAAATTTTCGTTCCTCTTTTAACGTTTTTAGGACGTACCGAATTTTGAAACGTTTGATTCTTGCAGCCGAAAAAGTTTTATCTATGCCTATTGGAACGTTTTAGGTAATTCTTGCAGACAGAAGGTTCTTTAAAATATAAATATTTTATTAATTACCTAATTTTAAAACATTTTCGATAATTTTCGCAGCCAGAATGTTTGTTTTTGGTAGCTAACCAATCTTATAATAATTTAAGTAACTTTTGTAACCATAAAGCTAGTTTTAGTAGCAAACGTTTTAGGTACCTTTAGCTGCTAGAAAATTCTTTTTAGTAATTACTAATAATAAATAATTTTCGGTAACTTTTACAGAATATACTTTTTGCTAACCAGTCTTGGAACGTATTGGGTAATTCTTGCAGATAGAAAGTTCTTTTTAATAGATAATTAATTTTCAGCAAGAAGTTTTTTTTTATAGTAGCTAACCAATCTTGATGGGTTTCAAATAATTATAGGTGTCAGAAAGTTTTTTTAGTTGTTAACTCATCCTGAAATGGCGTAATTCTAGCAGCAAGTAGGTTCTTTTAGTTGGTTTTAATTTTGTAAGATATTACATGCCTAACTGCCATTTATACAGTTAATATTTTATCAATTAGCTAACCTTAAAATATTTTAAATAATTCTTGCAACCTGAATGTGATGACTTTCGGTAACAAAAAGTTCTTGCCAGTCAAATAATTTAAAAATATTTTAAGTTTCCAGAAGGCTTTTTTATAGTAGGTAAACAATCTTAGAACATTTTATGTAATTCTAGCTGCGAGAAAGTGTTTTTTAGTAGCTAACTCATCCTCATTTTTCATAATTATAGCTGGCAGAAAATGGATTTTAGTAGCTATTAATATTTCATAACTTGTGAATGAAGTTCAGTTTTCAATTTCAAAAACTTTTAAATTAAAAGCTTTCTAATTTAAAGCTAATTTTGAAATACTTATACATTTTTAGATTCCAAAACGTCTTTCATTAACGTAATCTTAGAATGATTTATGTAGTTCTGGCTGCCAGAATGTATTTTTTTAATAATTAACCAAAGTTAAAACAATTTAAGCAACTTTTAACACCAGAAAGCTAAGTTTAAATTATTTTATGCATTTTTAACTTTCAGAAAATTTTCTTTATAGAAGTTAAACCATTTTAGACCGTTTTAAAGCGTTTTGTAGTAGCTAAGTACTAAAAATTGGGAAATCCTTGGTAGCAGAAGTTGTTTTTTTTTGTAGCTAACTAATTTTAAAATATTTTAGGCATTCTGATTCGACAGAAAGTTTTTATTTTGTTGTTATGGTATCTGAGCTATTTTAATCGTTTTCGGAAATCTTTATTAGCTACTAAAAGGAATTTTCTGGTAATTACAAATACGTAAAATATATCAGAATGATATACTATTGGGGGGATACCCTAGTACCATACTAGGGGGTAGAAGTGGGTACTAAAAAACCCTCCTCCCTGCAAAATTGCCTAATTTGTTTTAAGATTGGTAGTTATAAACTTTCTGGAATCGAAAATGCCTAAAATGTTTTAAAATTAGTTTGCTACAAAAAAAAACAACTTCCTAATTTTTAGTACTAAAAAACCCTTTAAAACGGTCTAAAATGGTTTAGAATTATTTAACACCTTTCAAGATTGCTCTGTCAAGACCTTTCTATCTGAGAGTTACTAAAATAGCTAAAAGTTATGAAATAATTATAGCTTCTAAAAAGACCTTACTGTCAGCTATAATTACGTAAAATAATTCAGAATGAGTCAGCTGCTAAAAAAAGAAAAAAAACCCACTTCCTAGCAACTACTGGCTGCAATTTTTTTTTGTTTGTGTCTCGAGTAATAGTTACGTCGTAGGCAATTCCTCATGAACCGTCAGAATGGGGGAAAACGCGCCACCCCAGGAAAGGCACCCCCATGAAAGCTAGTGCTTCTCCCCTCGTCTCTTCAAATATTCTTTCTGTACAGCTGGGGCTGACTGATTTCGAAGGATGTGCATGTGTGCCATGCCATTCACACCCGCTTCACTGTTCAGGGGTAAAAAACAACCCACAACACCAGGCAGTCACGGATATCATCGCACCACGCCACAACCACCATCACCCGATCTTTTAATAGTTTTCTTTATACACTGGATTGATTTTATTTAAATTATTATCTCACTGTACATAATATTGACCTGTAGTCAAAAGGTGTTTCCATAATTTTTCAGAACATATAACAGTTCTTTTCTTTCATCTCTGTTCTTTACGCAGTTCGTAAATATATGCTCCATCGATTTTTCCCCTGTGCCAGATATGGTTTGCGTACAGCATACATTCCCAACATTGTCCTTTTTGAGCCAATTTTCTTCGCAACCTTTTGGTCAAATCCGTTTATAAATTGCACTTTTTTGTGATGACTCATATTTAAGCTGCCATTCTTGAAGAGCAAATTCTCTAACAGTTAGGGTCAGATTCTCGAAATGTAATTTAAATAGTGAGAACCGCCTCGAATCCATTCCTTGTTTTGCTAGTGTATCTGCCCGTTCATTAAACTTAACACCTACATGTGACCTTACCCACGGTATGGTGACTTTGTTATTTGGCTGTATTAAATGATGTGTATTTTTGTACCAAAAAGTTTTGTCATCTACTGTGGGCACTTGATATGGCATAGAGATCTGCCGAATAAATGCTACTTCATTTTGGCAGCTTAACCTTCTTAATCTTCATTCATAGTTTGCCGTTGCGCCAAACAGGGCACAACCTGCGCCTATCTCTGATTGATATCCTGGCCAATGTTCCTTGATCGCACTTCTATAAATGGCTACGGCTTCACCCTTTATGGTATGGTATGGTGGAAAAGGATACTAGGAAGCGGGGTTTCTATTCTCCAGGCACTGCAGCCTTCTGGCTTATTGTACCTTCCTAGTTCCTTAGTTAAGTCAATAGACTCAATCCTTCTTCTTAGAAGTATCAGGTCATTGACTGTTGCTGCTGCAATTTGATTCCCTAAGTCTTTACCGTACGTTAGGTTAAACCTCCAGCTTCACCCTGACTCATACTTTTAACATCAGGTAAGTAGTCGACATTCACAGAATTATAGATAATTTCGTACTTCGTGTCGTATAAGGGGAAGTACATTATTTTCAAAGCAGTGTACTTTATTTCTTAATTCATTTAACTTCAACAAAGAGGACGCTAATAATGGTATATTTTTTGGACCAATCAGTTAACATTTTTGACGCCAAGAGACAAATCTGTGTGCAAGTTCCCTCTTCATATGCCATTAGTTTCAAGAAAATTTGTCCGCCAAAAACAGAAACAACAAAGCGATGGCTGGGTCCGACCACAGTTTTTATAAGTTACCATTTTCTGTACATTACATATTTTTCCGCTTCATTGATTACATAATTAATATGTTTTCCAACTAAGTGTTTTGCTAAGGACCTACGAAAAATTTTACTTCCGTACTTACTTGTAAATACTTACTACTTACTTCTTCAGCTAGAATAACTTGGTCCTTCAAAGGTATTCTTCTCGTTTTCTAAAAAACGCAAACAACCGTATTTTCTGTTGATATACCATTTTCCCATGACTTTTTAATTACCACTATCCCCTCGCTAAGAATATTTGTTGCCGTTTCTATATCCCTGTGTTCAGAGTACAAACAGATGTCATCTGCATAAATCAATATTTAAATACCAGTAGGGAAGTCACAATTAATGTCACTCTAAAAATTGAGAATAGTATCGGACTTAAGATCCCTCTCTGCAGTAAACCTAATCAATCATAACGTGGTCCAATTAATCAATAAAGCTAAACAGACCTTTCTGTCAGAGGTAGCTACCTAGAAGAGCTAAGAATACTTACCTAAGAATTATATAAAATGTTTCAAAACTAATTAATAATTTTAAAAAAATTTCTCTCTCTAAAAGCTAAATAATTTTTTCCCGAGATTAATATGTGCTAAAAAGATTTTTCCGTAAGTTATATTATGTATAATATTTCCGAATTAGTTGCTAACAAAAAAATACCTTCTGGTTGCAAAAATTGCTTAAATTTTTTTTTTTGAATTAGTATACTTCTATAAAGAAAAACATTCTTCCTACAAGAATTATTGAAAACGTTTTAAAACTATTCATTAACTAAAAACTCTTTCTCACTCTAAATGCTAAAAATCATTCACGAGATTAATAACTTCTAAAAAGAATATATCTTTATTATTTTATTTTAGCTAGCCAATTTTGAAACGTTTATGATAATTCTTTGTCCATAAAAAGGGTTTTAGTTGTTAAGTAAATTTTTTTCTCTAATATGGTAGGGCTTATGAAATTTTATAGTGAGTCACATATCATGAAAGGTTTGTAGAATTTTCACGAAGCACCAAAAATTTGTTCATACTTGTCAGATTTTTTTTTCTAATTGCACTATCTATTTTCTTCATCAGACATGGCGACATTACCTGAATCCGCCTAATTATCACCCTTATTTCGCCGGGCTGGTCGGGGTGGGCAGCAGCGATGACAATTATTTATTCGATGATGAGGAGCGAACAGTGGAGGGGGAGAAATGATATGAAGGCGCCCTTCTATCACTGGACCAGTCTTGCAACACAACCATCCGACGAGGGCAGACCCCCCTGATATGTCACAGCAATAGCGACTTCGGTCAAGTGCAAACAACTCATCCGACCCCGAAAGACTTCAACAACCCTTCAATTATGGGAATTTACTTATAAGGCAACGCTTGAAGTTGCCTTCAGAGAGCCCAGTGTTGATTAAAGTAAGTCTATTTTTTATTTGGAGTGTATTCAAGATTGTATATCCAAATTTTGATCAATTAGACCAAGATTGTTTTTTTTTAAATAAAACTAAGCCAGTACAAAGGGATAATGCCTCTTTGAGTCCCTAGACTGCTGTTTCTCTTATTTAAAAAAATAATGCAATATAACGCTTTTTATTTCTAAAAAAAATTAAATTGGATAAATTTATTCTCATTTTGAAATTTACTTATGTTCTTTTTTTAATCATGAAATCTTTCAATATCTTACTATGTTCATCTATCCTAATTTACCCCAATATAACTCTTTAAAAAAATCCCACAATTTTTCTTTTAAAAAAATTTTGATAAATTTAGGCGACAACGATTGTCAAAAGGTCAAATTTGAAAGTTGGAAGGTTTTTGTAATTTATAACCTGGTTGTCAGTACCAGTGTTGGTTGAGGAAGGTGGTGGGCGTTGACAATTCGCACCCTTTACCTGTACAAGCAGTGCTTCCTTATTTACCTGACAGCCGTGGTTAAACGAATCGAGGTCACATTTATTAAGACACCTTTTTACATTAAACACTTTCGATTTATAGCTAGCTAAATTCGCTTCAATTGATTCCCCACCCCTGGGCGACTCTGTGCTTCCTATTTCCTCTAATCACGAGCGCGATTTTGAACGGTTGCACTCATTGCTGGGAGAAGAAACAGCCGAAGTCGATGTTGTAGTGAAATGATGCAAACTTTTAAATATGTTCTATTTATTCGATCGTGGGAATGGATTGGCAGATGAAGGGAAAAGAAGTGTCACAAATCGGATGCTGTACAAGTAAAGCAATTCTCCTTTGGTCTGCTTTTCCCCGCTGTTAATCACTTGTCACACTCGCGTTTTGACGTTACATAAGAAAAAAAGATAAATTGAACTTATAAAAAATATTAAACCGATCCGATAGTAGGACACAGCGAGGATAGGCGGGCCAAAGGTGAATAATAAGAAATAATCTTAAGAAAAAATTATGATTTTTTTTAATGGGACTCGTAATAACCTTCATATATTTATAATATATTTCAAAACTAATAAATATATCATATCAAAAATATTTGACGCTAAAACTAGAAGACAATAGGACATAGCGAGGTTAGGCTGTGATCAACTAAAGAATCTTTAGAAAAAAAAATTTTAAACCAAATTATTACTAATTATAGTATATTTCAAGACCAATAAATGTATCTTATAAAAAATATTAATCGTTGAAACACGAAGACAATATAAAACCGATAAATGTGCGTAATAAAAAATTTTTGGTGCCAAAAGATGAAGACAGCGAGGATAGGCGGACCAGAGTTGATCATTTAGAAAGAATCTTAAAGCCAGAAAGATCATTATTTGCTCGACCACACATTACCTTTAACGTACTTATAATCTATTTCGAGAGGGATGAATGTGTTTTACGAAAAAAAATCTTAAAAAATTATAATTCATTAACCGTACTCGTATTAACTTTAACCTACTTATAGCATATTTCAAACCGATAATCTGTCTAATAAAAAGTTTTTGGTGCAAGACGAAGTCACTAGAACAGCGAGGATAGGCTGTCCAGAGGGGTTCAATAAGAAAGAATATTAAGGAATAAATTATCATTTTTTAACCGAACTCTTATTAACTTAAACTTACTTATAGTAATGTGTGGTGTTTAGTGACCGTTACTTGATGATTATTTGGAGATCGTGAGATGCGGTGTGACGTAGGTTTTAGAAAAACATTTTCTTTATCGTGCCAACGTTTCGGTCTTTATTGAGATCATCTTCAGAGCCTGGGATTTATAAACATTGTTTAAATTTTACAAATACTTGGAGGATGTGAAAAAATGAATTTATACAATCGTAGAAATTTTAGGTTAAAAAAATGAATTTATACAATGCTAGAAAATTTTAGATAAAAAAAATGAATTTATACAATGCTAGAAAATTTTAGATAAAAAAATGAATTTATACAATGCTAGAAAATTTTAGATAAAAAAAATGAATTTATACAATGCAAGAAAATTTTAGATTAAAAAATGAATTTATACAATGCTAGAAAATTTTAGATTAAAAAATGACCTCCAAATAATCACTTACTTATAGTAGTTGCACATTGCAAACCGATACGTATCTAATAATAATTTTTTGGCGCTAAAAGACGAAGACAATATAACACAGGGAGGCTAGGCAGACTAAGGTTGACCAACTACAGAGAATCTTAAATGTAGAAAGATCATTATTAACTCGACATCTCATTATCTTTACCGTACTTATAATACATTTTGAAAGGGATGAATGTGTTTTATGAAAAAAAAAATTGTATTTTAAACCCAAAGACAATAGAACAGCGAGGATAGGCGGACCAGAGGTGATCATTTAGAAAGGATCTTAAGAAAAAAAAAACCGTTTTTTAACCGAGCTCGTATTAACTTTAGCCTTCTTATATTATATTTCAAGAGAGATGAAGGTATTTTATGAAAAAAATTTGTAGCTTAAACCCCAAGACAATAGAACAGCGAGGGGGCGTCGATGGCCGCAAGGTTTAGTCTTTGACACGGCGCTCATCACTGTAAGGTAAAGGTCCCGGGTTCGAATCCAGCGGCCCTGCATTCGAACCCGACATACTTACAAATGGGGTTTAAAAAAGAAAAAACAGCGAGGATAGGCGGACCAGAGGTGATCATTTAGAAAGGATCTTAAGAAAAAAATACCATTTTTTAACCTAGGTCGAATTAACTTTAGCCTTCTTATATTATCTTTGAAGAGATATGAATGTATGTATTTTATAAAAAAAATTGTCGCTTAAGTTAGTCAAGACCGATAAATGTGTCCAATAAAAAGTTTTTGGTGCAAGACGAAGACAATAGAACAGCGAGGATAGGCTGTCCAGAGGGGTTCAATAAGAAAGAATATTAAGGAATAAATTATCTTTTTTTTTAACCAAATTCATATTAACTTTAGCCTACTTACAGTATATTTCAAGAAGGATAAATGTATTTCATAAAAAAAGTTTGATAATAGGATACAGGGAGGCTAGGCGGACCAGAATTGCCCAATTTTGACCCAACTCCATAACACAACCGATCGCCTCGTATACCACTCACATCTATTCTCAATTTATATAAAAATAAATGTTGAAAGCGTTTGAAATATCGCCAAATGTTCCATATTCTAAAAAAGTACGAAAATTGTCAATTTTTAAATTTTATTTTTGGATCAAATTCGTTTCCGATCCCTCGCACTCGATGAAATATTACGAAAAAAAAAATAAATTATAAAAAAGCCGAATAGTTATGATCTACTAACTAATTAAAATTCTTATAAACGGGTGAATTATTTTTTCATTTTTTGGAATAAATACTATTGGAAAGAAAACTTTCTTATGATAGCATACGATTTATATTTACAATTCCCCCATTCTGGCCTTTTTCTTCGATAAATTCAAAAACTTTTTTGTCACCACGTTTCTAAGAAATATTTATCTATGTAAAAAGCGAGGTGGACCCGATTTCTCATGATTTTGACCTTTATTGGACCTTTATGAGAAGAATAATTCGCTGTGTATGAAGCTCGTGTCGATGTTAACATAATCACCAAAAATTTATTAAATGTTGTAAACTTGATTTTGAAAAAAAAGTGTCAACTTTGTTTAAAAAAATAGAAAGGACTCTGTTGACCTTGCACATTTGGACGTTGACATCAACAATCTAAACGGATCGATGTAATAAAATATTTCTAAGCAATTCAAAGGTGTCCAAATTTAGCTTTCATTCCTGGAATTTTTTTTCGCTATAATCTAATTGTTAAAAAACATTTTAAATTGCTAGTTTATATAGAAAGGCGACTGAATAGGAGTCATCATTCAAGAAAAAAATCAATTATAGTTGGGGACACAAAATAGTCGGAATTTCAAGATAGTCATGAGAATTGTTCAAATCTTATCTTTTTATCCTCAAAGGCAAGAATCAATTTTGGACGAATTGATGATTAAAATAGTCACAATATTTCTATACTTTACTGCACTTTTCAGAATGAATACAACTGCAAACAATCTTCCTTATTTGAAAAACTGTAATTTTTTCTTTTAATGGCACTTTTTATTTCCGAAGAAGCGTATCCTGTAAAGGCTTGGATAGGGCACATCGGGATAGAAAATGCTCAATGTCTTCATCTCCATATTAGAGAGAGGAGAGAGAGGGAGAGAGAAAGAGAGAGAGAGAGAGAGAGAGAGAGAGAGAGAGAGAGAGAGAGAGAGATTTTCCAGGATCTATCTTTCCATGGCTTGCAGTTTACATTTTTCCTTTTTTCAATGCTTTTTTTCGATTTCAATTTAGCATCTGGTTGATTTTGCAGTTAGGTAAATTTCGATGTCACAAGATCCATTCCCTAGTTCCCTGGATGTTACGTTCATTGGAAAAAACTTGAAAACCCAACTATCAACAGTTATACCACTTTCTTTTGGCCACATAAAAAACCATGTCAAAGCATTATCCAGAAAAAAATGCTATAGCCTTTGACCTACGAGGTAATGAAAGTGATCTATAAAACATACTTCTACTTAAATTAGCTTAAATTCAAACGTTAGTTGCCTAGATATCATCATAAATCATCCATTCCCGGATAATCTGAAGTTCGTTATGTTCTGAATGACAAAACAAATTCAATTGTTTCCTGCCAAGCTTTCGAACGATTTTAAGGTCATTAGCGGTTATTTTAATTACACAGTATGAATACATATTTGTACAGCTAATTCAACAATCATTATAACTATGTTCGAAATTATCTGTTTGTATGTTGCTATTGTTATTTTCCATTTTAGTATTTAAAACCTATTTTATTCTTTGTCACCGAGATTCTTTATCAATTATTCGACGAATTTATGCCAACTTGTTAGTGAATGTTTCGAGAGTGGAGTACCTCAGTCAGAAACGTGACCTTAAATTTTATTTTTTTACTCTCTGTCTTGTTTGAGCAATGTATTCAATTGGCCATT